TTTTTAGAGACGTATAGGAAACTCCTGCATGAGTTGAGATACCACCTGGGTTTGTGCCCAAACTGTGGATTTTCAGGTTTCCAGTGTTCAGTTTGACAGAAGAAAAAGTAGACCTCGGCTGTGGTTTGTCCATGCTGAGAAGGATGAACATAGAAGCATTTAAACAATCAGCCTTTGTGGGATATCATGTAGTTAACCTGGGTGGTTCCTCTGGGCTCACCTCTGCTTCTTTAATCCCAACCAAAGAGTCCATTTCAGTGAGCAAAGACCCCCACCCCCACTCTGTTCTCAGGCACAATCAGGGTTAACATTGCTAATTCGCTTTTATGAGCTCTGACTGAGCCCACTCTCCTACACTTACACATGTTCAACAATTATTCCATCGCTTCTTCTGCCATAAAATATTCAGCACCTTGAGTGTCATGCAGACGAAACTTGAAAATTTATTCAGTGATTAGAATGGTTAATTTCTCAAAGGTAAAAAAAAAAAGGAAATGACCTAAAAATAGAGATTTGCTGTGAGATTCTGCATTTAAATGAGCCGTACCTGTGTGATGGTCTGGCTGGGTAAAGTAATGGACCAAGAAATCCATTTTTATATGAAAAGAGCTGAAATACTGACACTGATACTGAAAATGTATTACATGATAACATAATAGTCATACATATCTTTTAGGTTATTTAACTGAAAACTTTGTCCTGTTTTTTTTTTTTGTTAGAATATGTGCATTTTATTTTAAAACCTGAACAAGTTTAAGTTGCACCAAATAAAATAATTTGAGTCATTATTTTACATTCACAATGTGAATTTCTTTTTTTATCATTACCTGTCAGTAAAAGACAAAGCAGGACTGATAGCTTCCAGTGTTCCAATAAATGATTCTTTTTTTCCTCTTCATACCCTGAGTTAAAGATAAAAATGAATAAAAAGCATAGGGCAGCATTTGTGTGACAAGATGAAAAACCGTTAAAACCTTTTTATAAGCAAAGGCAAAAAACTGAAAAAGTAAAAACAAAATTAAAAAATAAAAAACAATAAAAATGTATCTTTCAGGGTTAGTAGATGCTCTCTCTGAGTGTTGAAAATGTGAAAATGTGAATTTTATGACCATTCTAAACTATTCAGTCTATTCTCACATGCTTCAAACCAGTGGCGGACCTAGGATTTTTTTCAGTGTAAGGGGCCATCAAGGTGCCACAATATTTATAGAGGGGCCAARTATTTGTTTAACATCCTTGCACACAAATCCCCAGTTTTTGTAAGTATATACATTTAATCAGTCACACGTGTTCAAACACTTGTAAAAGCTTGCACAGTAAATTCTCCTTATCAATTTTACATGATTTTTTTATTGTACATAAATAAAATACTCTCAAACACACAACATGTATGAAAATCTACCCATCGTTGTCAGTAAAAACAACTTTTTTTCTCCAATAAAACTGACTTTCCTATTTGACTCACTGGCACCACTAGTGGTTGGAACTGGAACTGCAGCCACCATCATTGTTTTTGGGCAAGGACAGATGAGTGAAAGGACAGGAGCACTTCAGGGGGGCAATCAAATTTCAGATGGTGCCAATGCCCCTGTGGCCCCGCCCCTAGAACCACCCCGGCTTCAAACAGGAAGTTAAAGCCTTCTTCAGTGGTGGAGCAGCAGCTTTACTTAAAACTCCGTTAGATAACAAAGTTTCTCATCATATTTTTGAATTTGAGCAAGACCACCCAACAGAGGAAGCTAATTATGACCCCGGCATTTGTTTTTTTGTTTTTATTTTTCAATGATATTTGGTCAACCGTAGCACGGAAACAGCTGCACCGATCAACATGAAATTTGGCGGGAATGTAGATGTGTCCAACCTAYACTGCTCCAGCCAACAGTTTTACCATAGACCCCATATTTGAGGAGTGGGGTCCATTTAAAAAAGGAGGTGTTTGGACGTACAAAAATGCTTAGAACTCAAACACTATTCAACATAGGAGCTTCAAAACAACAAATCTGTTGTGGYGAGTTCTGAGTTCTGGTGCACTGGTGCTTTGTTGTATCTAGTTTCAGTTGTTTTTGTTCTTCTGCCCATGATATATTATGTTTGAGACCGGTTCATTTTAGTTTGTTAGAGGGGTTTACGACTATATAGCTGCGCAGAAACTTTTTATGTACAAATGAATAAAGAACTGTCAACAAATGAAGACTTGTTGTCAGCCTTACATGTTGGAGCCAGAGTCTGACCCAAAGCCAGAGGAGAATGAAGACAATGAACATGTAATTGGTAAGTACAGACATTATTTGGCAGTTCCTTTGCAGATTCTGTGACATAATAGTGCAGAAAACATTACAGAAAATTTAGAAAACTGAACAGGTTGAAAAATATGACCCAAACAGAATAYAAAGATAWCTACACAGAGACTAAATTCCACTTTTCTGCTTTTGTAGAGACTCYAACTGAACAAYAAAATGTGTTTAACAGCTAAAAATGTGGATTTTGTAGATATATTGATTTCTCAAATAAGAGTCCAGTGGTGTCCAACCTGCACTCTGAGTTTTTGACTCTTCAATGTTTTAAGCTGCAGTGATCATGTATTTTAATTCTAGCTGACTTTAACTACAGTTGTTTTTTTTGTACCACAGTGATTCAAAGTGAATTTTCCTCAGCAGCATGCTCAGCAGTTTTTATTGTGCACGAGTAAATGATCTGAATAGAACAAACCTTTATGAAACCATAGTAAACAGGTCATGCATCACACATATGATGAGTTTAAAGTGCAGCATGAGTCCAAAAACTGATAATCTGTTACAGCTCTGCAGCTGTTTCCTGATGATGATGATGATGAATATAAAGCACACATGCATTAAACTGCTTATTTGCATTAAACAAACAACCTGCCGGAGATGTTACAGAAAGCACCGGCTTTAAGTGAGCCTCTCCCCTGGTGTCAAAGCACATCTCAGAAWGTGTGAGTGGATTTATTGGGGGCAGCCAGTCGTGCAGTCGTAGCCCACTCATGTAATGAAGCGAATATACCAGGCGAGTGGTCAGAGAGGCCTCGGAGAGTTAATGACAGCGGACGTCTGGCAGCCCGGCAACAAGGAAGGCTTGAAGGATCTGCTCAGGAGACTCATTGGGTGTTTCAATCTCACCACAAATCCAGTTTTATGTTTTCCCACTGATTTATGGTCTTATTTGAACTGTCTCCTACATGCAAATGCACGGCGACCGCTACAGAAATATACATAATGTGATTCTCAGGGTCATCCCTCCAGCCTGTCAAGTTAAGGTGGTGTGTTTGGAGTCTGGGGGGGGAGGGGGTTGAAAGAACTCAATGATCTTTTTCAGCCCTTTGGATTCTAAAAGGAGGCAGGTGTTTGACATATCGATCTGATCCCATGTTTCCACCTTCATGCTCGTTTCTTTAAATCTCAAACTTCCTCAGTAACTGGGATTGTTTGAGTTTCTGTTTGTTGTCCCTGTAAACCAGAATCAGCTGTTTTTCCTCACCCAGCTTCACGTCCTCCTGTCGAACACAGGAGATCCTGATTTGAAAATGATTCCCAGGCAGACAATTATGATCATATATCCTGACACATGAAGAGCAACTTTATTAAAGATATCTGTCACGGCGGCTCCTCGGCCCGTCTCCCTGCGTGGACATGACAAAGTAGATTCATCAATTAATCTCCAGCAATTGCATTTGGAGGGATATTACGCTGYCTTTACATTTTCTTTCACATTATTTCACCCATTTTTCACTCGCTGGTGTATGCTAATAAGGAGGCTCAGGCAGTTCTACTGATGATCCGGTAAAAAGATCTGAAAGGTTCCAACAAATGGCATCGCTMCAGACAACATGTTATTTTCTCACAGTAAAAACTTTTTTACTGAGTGACTTTCATTTACTTTAGTGTTTATTGTATCTTAAATCCAATAGTGATGGTTTGTTTTCACGTTTCAGGGCTTTTAAATCATAAATACAAAAAGTGAACATTTATGAAACCAACAGTTTATAACCACCCAGATTTCACTCGAGAATGTCAGTAGTTAGTTTTATTTATTTTCAAAACATATTCAAATTTAAGTAGTTCTTGTTAGATTCTCAACTATATTGAGCTTACATTATAC